TCCCCACCCCGCCCCATTTTCTTCAGACATTCTGACTTCTGCCATGTATGACAGACTTGAAAACCAAGAGCGTGTCTGAGGTAACTGCCTTTGAACTCTGTTTTTATGCTCGTAAACTCAGTCTTCGTCACCTGCCTCCCCCCGGCTCGCCCTCTGACCCTGCGCTTTCCCGGGCTGGCTTTACTCAGGTGCCCTCCATGTCTGTCCTCACTAACGGGAGTTTGGAGAACTGAATGTTGGATATGAGGACTTTTCCACTCTGGCTGTTTCACTGGACTGGTGTTCTCAACCCTTCTGTCTCTGGAGAGAGCTGTATCAGCTCCTCAGCTGGTGGCCTCAAGGCCGAGGCCCCATCTGGCTTCCATGTGGCCCAGGCTCTCCTGCAGCAGGCTCCTCTCCACTCTGCTGCATACAATCTGCTCATTCTTACTCTGTCTGTACCGTAACCCGACACACAGCGGCTTCTGCTCCCCCACATTCTTGTTCTGAAGGCCTGGCTCCACCAGTGCCCTGCCTCGGCTGTGAAATCCCCAGGCCTACCAGCCTCCCAGGTCTCTTTGGAGTTTCTTTCTCCTGAAGGAACTGAGAAATAGAATCCCATGCCGCCGCCTCTCTTCCCTGCTGGCCTGTCACAGCTGGAGGAGCCCGACTCGCCTAGGGCCCCTACCCGCTTACTCCTGACCCAAGTGTACAGCGGCTGCCCAGCAAAGCCGTGTGCAGGGACCAGAATGCGCACTTGCACACTGGTACATCAGACACATTGGCATAGCCTGGCCCATCAGGACCTAGCCCGGCAGGCCGGGTGTGTGTACAAGGCATAAACCAGAATTTCTATTATCCCAAGAAGGGAGAGAGACGGCAGATTTGGGCAGAAAGACTCAAGGGCTATTAGGAGTGTACACCCGCTGGATCCCTTCATCCTCCACTGGTCACATGAGCTAGTGTAGAGTTTGTGGGTCTGTCCCCATACAGCCAGGGACTATCTTTTTGTGCCTTTCCACATGCCACACCTCCAGTGCCAGCTGGTTTTGGAGGCAGGCAGCTGTTGTAGAATATTATTTTAACTAGGCAAAGAAGTGTTACATGTGTTTATGCTGCACTTGTTTAATTACGCAAAGCTATGTTACTTTGTCTGCTTAAAGCACTGATTGGTCTAATAAAAAGCTGAGCAGCCAATAGCTGGGCAGAGAAAGGAGAGATGGGGCTGCCAGGCAGAGAGAATAAATAGGAGGAAGGCCGGGCGGTGGTGGCGCACACCTTTAATCCTCGGAGGCAGAGGCAGGTGGATCTTTGTGAGTTCAAGGCCAGCCTGGTCTACAGAGCAAGATCCAGGAAAGGCACAAAGCTACACAGAGAAACCCTGTCTCGAAAAACCAAAATAAATAAATAAATAAATAAATAAATAAATAAATAAATAAATAGGAGGAGGAATCTAGGCTCAAAGAGAAGGAGAGGGAATGAGAGAAGGAGAAGGAGGGAGACGCCCAGGGCAAGCCAGGCAGACGCCAGCCAGACACAGAGAAGCCGTGAAAGTAAGATAGATAGACAGAAGGAAGAAAGGCAATAAGCCCCGAGGCAAAGGGCAGATGAACAGGGTGATTTAAGTTAAAAGAGCTAGCCAGAGACATGCCTAAGCTGGGCTGAGCATTCAAAACTAAAAAGTCTGTATGTCGGGATTTGGGAGCTGGTTGGTGGCCCAAAAGAAAGAGCCTGGTACAGGCAGCCTTGTTCTGAACATCACTTAGGTGGTGGAGCACTCTTGCCCTGGCCTTTAGTCCTCATCCTTAGTAATAAAAGCAGCTGTGGAAGCCACAGAGCAGGGAAGCAGGGACGCTGCTGCACACCACTGCCATCTGCTGGCCAAATGACGAAATGCGTGTGCCCGACAGTCCCCAGGCAACAGCCTTCTGGTGATAACCAGAGGAGGTGACCTGGGAACTTGTCCTCGGAGTGAGGCAATGGGTTGCTTAGGACCAGCCACTCCGGGGACCGTTTCCGTGGCTGTCCTGGAGGACAACAACAACAACAGCAACTGTTTCATCAGGAGCCTTCCTGTGCCAGGCTCTGAGCCTAGTTTTGTTTTGTTTTAATTAAAAAACTTGTTTCTCAGGCTGGAGAGATAGATGGCTTAGAGGTTAAGAGCACTGGCTGCTCTTCCAGAGGTCCGGAGTTCAATTCCCAGCACCCACATGGTGGCTCACAGCCATCTAGAATGAGATCTGATGCCCTCTCCTGGCCCGCAGTGATACATACTGTATATATAATAAAATAAAATCTTTAAAAAAGAAAAAAAATGTTTCTTATACAGAAATCTGTCTTCCCCTCCTCCAGCTCTACACAGATCCTCCCCACCTCCCTGCTCCCCCAACTTTGTTTTCTCTCTCTTTCAAAAACAAAAAGCAAGACACACCAGTCAAACCCACCCATGGATCACTGGCTCGCTCAACTCTCAGGAGAAAAGCGTCTTCTCGCAGTAGACGGGAATTCACGGAGACTCCCAACTGGACAGCGCAGAGTGAGCGTCCTAATGGGGTGTCTTCTCAAACCCTCCCTCCCCTTGAGGACCTATGTGCAGAGGAGGAGGTGGGAAGACTGTGGGAGTCAGAGGTGACAGGGGACTCCAAGGACAGCGGCTTCCAGACAGACTGAGCTGAGTCTCACACACGTTCTCACACGCTATCTTCCTAGCAGAGACCCAAGCCCTAGGCACGGTGCCCTCCTGGCGCTGACCCTCACACTGCCACTCACTGCCATGGACACACACAGCTTTTACCTCGATTTGCTGAGGCCCGCCGCCAGGCTCCTCTCCAGGATCCGCGTCTTCATCACCTCCGGGTAATCTCCGTTACTGAAGATGGGGTGTGCAAACCAGCCTCCCATAAACTGTGTGGAGGGGTAAATCTCTGTTGAAACTGACATGGGAGAGGCATCTCCCCCTGTCAGGGGTCTTCATTGAACATGTGTGCTTCTTGCTGGCATCTGTCTACTATACTAGACTTCGGGAGGGTAGACGCACACCCTTGTTTGGAGACTTAGAAAATCGGGGACACTAACGAGTTCCTCAGGATATAAGGAACTCTTGGCACCCGGAGGTAATGGCTACAGTCTGGCTCTACAGCCTCCTGTAGTCAAAGTGTGGAGGACATTGCTTCATTCCCATGTAGCCAGGGATGCCGTAAACTCCCCGTCCTCCTGTTTCAGTCTCCGGAGCGCTAGGATCACAGGCACGGATCACCACAACCAGCCTTATGCCGAGGACAGAGCCGCAGGCTCCGTGCACACTGAGCCAGCACCCGACCAAACGAGTCGCCTCCCCAGCCCTGTGCTGACAGTTGTTAAAAATCATCCTCAGAAGTGGCGGCCGCGCGGGTGTGTGCGTCTGTGGGTGGGATGTGGAGGGGGGGGCGGGTGCCATGGTGCACACGCGGAGGTCAGAAGACAGCTCTGGGGAGTCTCTTCTCTCCTCCGTCCTTTTCTTAAACATTTGTTTATTTGTAATTTATGAACATCGGTGCTTTGCCTGCGTGTGTGTCTGTGTGAGGGTGATCCCCGGAACAGGAGTTACAGACAGTGTGAGCTGCCGTGTGGTTGCTGGGAATTGATCCAGACAGTGCTCTTAACGGCTGGGCCATCGCTCCGGCCCCCTCCTTCCTTTGTTAGGCTGTGACCAGCAGTGTAGGGAGCCGTGCCGGGCCTGAAGGAGATCCCTGGAAACACACAGGGATGGCAGCAGAAAACACCATCCTCCGGGGCTAGAGTTCAAGTCACCAGGCTTGTAGTGGCAAGTGCCTTCACCTACCTGGCCATCCTGCCAGCCCACAGACAATATTTTAAGACTTAAAATTTAGTCCCAGGGTCTGGAGAGATGGCTCAGAGGTTAGGAGCACTGGCTGCTCTTCCAGAGGTCCTGAGTTCAGTTCCCAGCAACCACATGGTGGCTCACAACCATCTGTAATGAGATCTGGTGCCCTCTTCTGGCCTGCAGGGATACATGCAGGCAGAACACTGTATACATAATAAATAAATCTAAAACAAAACAAAAATAACAACACCAAAAAACAAAACAAAAACAAAAAAACCTCAGTCCCTGGCTGGAGAGGAGGTTCAGTTTTCAAATGCACTTGCTGCTCTCCAGAGGACCCGAGTTTGGTTCCCAGTACCCTGGTCATGTTGCTCACAACCATTCCTGGATATCTGATTCCCTCTTCTGGACTCCACAGACTCCTGCATTCACAGGCACACATACACATAATTAAAAATAAATTCGGTGGTGGTGGTGGCGGTGGGGCACACCTTTGACCCCATTGCTCTGGAGGGAAAGGCAGGTGGATCTCTGAGTTCCAGGCCAGCCTGGCCTACAAATTGAGTTCCAGCACAGCCAGGGCTACACAGAGAAACCCTGTCTCCAAAAAACAAACAGATAAAATCTTTAAAAACAAAACAAAACAAAAACCCCAGTCTCTTATAACTCGTCCCCTTTGTCACAGCAAACCTCTGAGTAAGAAACATCTAGTTCACAGATGAAAAATTGGAAGACCAGAAAAGTTAAGCAATTCCCCTCAAGCTCACAAAATCAAGTAAGAGCAAAACTGGGCTTAGATCTAAAACATT